TGGGGTGGGAAGGGGGATGTTTGTGGGGTTTCTGCTCTCTGCTCCTTCTGGGGTGCAGCAGAATCATCTCCCAGCTCCTGTGCCCAGCATCCCAGGGAGCCCTGGCAGCAGCACTTCCAGGGGAGGGTGAAATCTAGAACAGAGATGGCCAAAACAAGGTCCTGCCTTCCTGGGTGCCAGCCATGCCCTCTCCTTCTCTACCCTCCCTTTGCTATAACCAAGACCCTTCTCCATGAGTCCTTTGGAGACAACCACTCCTTGGGGCAGCACAACATGGCACCCCAAGGTGAGCTCTGTCCCCCTTTGCTCTGACACAGAAATTTGGTTCCCTCCTGTCCGTGCCCTGCGGCCGCTGCGTGCTACCAGCTGCGGGTGAGCACTGAACTGTAAATCCATGTGAAAAACACTTTTGGGTACTTTTGCCAACCATGTTGGTCCCCAGAGCCTGGGGCCTCCCCAGACCTTCACCTTCTGCAGGTTTTTGGTGGGGTTTTTACTGGTTCTGAGCATCCGGCAGCTGCTGGGAACCAGCCTGAGCCTCACCTTGCAGGGGATGTGAAGCAAGAAAAAGCAGAAATAATGGGGTCCAGAGAAAGACGCAGCCCAGGAGGGAAGAGAGATGATGGGAGAGGTGCCTTCTCCTCCTGGTAGAGCAGGCAGGTTGTGCTGTGCATGGTGCTGTACACTGGGGCTGTGGTGCTGAGTCCCTGCAGGCTTCACCCCAGGTCTTGCTGGAAAAGCAGAGCCTGGTCCTGACATCCCAGCAAGGCAAAAGCGATGGGGGATGTCCTTGTGCTTGGCCAGCACTGGTGGGAGTTTTGGCAAGCCCTGGCGTTGGGGATGGGAGCTGTGATGCAGGCAGGGATGCTGGAGGTGCCTGGGAAAGCCCCATGAGGCCAAACCAGGAGTGGGGCACCAACTAAAGAGGGTTTGCAGCAGCTGTGGCTGAATGACCTCCCTGTGCTGCCTGCAGGCTCCTCAGCACCCTCCAACAGGCACAGGCCTGG